GCACCATTCCATTATAAAAAGTCCAAAACCAGGAAACATTTTCGTGTGTCAAGACGGGGTGCAGAGGTTGGGAGAGGAAGCAGCAAGAGAGTGACCCCCAGGGATGCTGGTCAAGGCGATGAAGCACTTCTTGACCTTTGGAGAAATCCATCAAGCCATGCCCTCGTGAGCTGGGTCCTCATTACACATTAATGAAAAGTTTCAAGAAAAAGTCAAATGCTGGAGGTTTACTATAGTGTCCTTTGAATCGGAAAAATTCTTATTTTCCAAGACTCTTGCATTCTAATCGCACCTTTTCCAAACTAGTAACCTTTAACGGGCATAACTCCCAACTTAATGATTCAGATAACAACCTGACACCTGGGCCGCCGGCCTGCAGTACATTTCTAATTATGTCTCCACATGCTGTGGAGTAGGCTCATTACTCCGTTATAATTGAAGGGGTGGGTTTGTTTGGCTGTCCTGAAACACCAGGAGATGCCTCTCCTGTACCAGTTTGTCTTTGGGCTGCGCATCCCAGCTCCTTAGCCTTCTCGATACACTTCATTTCTTCGTCTCCAGTGTGCCTTACATCACATGCACAGACAAAGATAAAGTGACAGACACAGCTGGAAAATTAACACAGATAAAGCAACACAGGAAGCCAAGAAGAAGAGACTTACTTGCATGATGGTTTCCGGTATACTTTTATTGTACACAATCTCTCAAATATTTCTGCTTCTTTGACCTGAACAAACTCCATCTTTAATATAGGTAAAAGTCAGATGCTCTGCTCAACACTGCTGTTAGCTACATGGCATCTCCTGAATACGGCTTATACAGTCCCTGCTTGCCCTGAGTCATTATTTCCATTACTATCTATTACATATTTCCTGCTTGTCCTGTGATGGTAACTGAATATTACCCATCACCCACTGCACACTTGTCTGTGCCATACATGATGCCTATATCAGGGGAAGCTCTGGTGAACAAAAACACTTCTTTCTTTCACAGAACATCAGCCTAATAGGGAAAAAGGTCATCAGTACTCAAGCCAGGAAGTGTGCTCTGGAGGCAAAGAACACAGCTCTGGGGCGTGATGATGGAGGAAAAAAGAGGGGCCAGACAGGAAGTTCAAAAATCAAATACAGTGTGAGGTGGGAACAGGATTTAGGTGAGAAAATATTTATCCAAAGCTGCTATCAACAAGGCATCCCCTGCCTTTGAAGCACATAATATATAAACTCTTTTTCCTTGTTAATGTGGTGGTTTAAAAAAAGAATGGTCCCGGGGGCTGGAGAGATAGCTCAGAGGTTAAGAGCACTGACTGCTCTTCCAGAGGTCCTGAGTTCAATTCCCAGCAACCACATGGCGGCTCACAACCATCTGTAATGAGATCTGGTGCCCTCTTCTGGCATGCAGAGATACATGGAAAGGATGTTGTATACATAATAAATAAATAAATCTTTAAAAAAAGAAAAAAAAAAGAATGGTCCCCATATGCTCATATATTTAAATACTTGATCTCTGGTTGGTGGAACTATTGGTGAAGGATAAGGAGGTGTGGCCTTGCTGGGGGAGGTGTGCTACTTTTGACACTTCAAAAGCTCACCCTGTAAGCCTTCCCAGTTAACTCTCTACCTTTCTCTCTGTTTCATGCATGTGGATCAGATGCAAGCTCTCAGCTACTGCTCCAGCGCCATGCCTGCCTGCCTGCGGCCATGCTCCCTGCCATGACAGTCATGGACTCACCCTCCGAAACTGTAAGGCCCCAATAAACAATTCCACCTATAACTTGCTTTGGTCATGGCGGTCATATCACAGTGATAGAAAATTAACTAAGACAGTGAATGAACCAATCTAACATGGTTTCTAAGAGGCCTGACCAATGCAGACCAACTCTACTGCAAGGCAGCTTCAGAGACTGCAAGAGCAGCATGCAGGTACACTACCTATGTGTGACCTTAAGAACAATCTCCATCTGCACTACACAGCAGGGGAGCGGCTGGCAGCACAACACAGAGCTTCCCAACACCTACAGCATGACCGGTGCAACTTAAGACTTGAATTTTCAACTTTAGGAAACTGTAATTAATCTAGATATAATTTCATAAGTTGATATCTGCCCCGCAGTGGGAAAGATTTAATTAGGTTAGTGACTTCATGTATAAATGAGTCTACTTTTTCAAATACATCTTAGAGAGAGACTCTGAACACAAACTGAGTTCTTCTGATCAGTGCTCCACAGCCGAGGCCAGGGAGAGTAGAGCACACCGGGTGGAAGGAGACTGTTTAACAACACTTTTATTTTCACGTAACACTGGCGATTTCAAAAAACCTATATGGCATTTTGTTTGCAGAAAACATCAATCACAACATTAAAACCTCAGCTGCAAGGTGATGGATTTTGCCAGCATTCACTGCAGGTGCCCAGCTTTCCGTAAAAGTCATTATGATATATATATATAAAAAACTTAGGGATTAGTGCCAAGTCACTCCAAGGTTTGCATTAAGAATACAA